AAAAAAAATATAAAAGTAACGTTAAAGACCCTTCTAAGGAATACCACTGAGATCAGTGAGCTTTGCCACGCTCATGGTTTTTTGGGTTGACTGCAGTTGATTGTTCGGTAATTTTGTAAGCCTCTTATGTCAGAATTGGGTTTACGACTTTTGAGATCTTTAACCTTCCGCGTTTCACTATAAAATTGGCTATGTGACTTAAGGTTAGTGTTCTGGTGCAAATTCATATCTCACACAGAATCATTGATCTAGTTCATCTACTTGCGAAATACTCATCGTCGATATTACTCATCATCATATTCAAAATGTGATCATGCGCATTATATGGCCAAAATTATAATTTTTCCCCTCAGAATCACATTCTTAAGTAAAAAATGTCTGTAGATTTTGCAAATCCGATAAGGTTGCGAGTTGAAATGTTTGGGTATCACAGGAATGTCCCTTCGTGCAGCGAATGCCGTTGATGACAGTCCACTAGGATGGCAAGGTGCCAAAAGCACTCTCAAAGAAAGGATCAGTTACATGTATTGCAAAGATGTCCTAGCCGACGTGTACTTTATTGTTGGGAAAGATGACATGAGACAGGTAAGACTGTGTGCAGTAAATCAGTATTTCATTTACCGTAATTTGCTCCTGTTGCGTTCTTTAGTCCTCGTCTTCTCACTGATGTTTTTTTTCAGCGAATCCCCGCGCACAAATTTGTTTTGTCAATCGGCTCTGTTGTTTTTGATGCGATGTTCAACGGCGGCCTTACACCCCAGAACTCACGAGGTATCCCCTCTGAGTGCCTTTCTTCAGTTTCCCTCGGTTTTACATCTTGATCCGGGGAGCGAGATCGCTCTGGACAAATCTTTTCACTCTATAGGTGCTCGCGATCATTTCTTGTGTTATGTCGCAGTATTTTAGTGTTCTTAATTTAGATAATTGAAAAGACTTTTATTTCTCAAAGAATCACGGGTTAGATTGTCGCAATGAGACTGCTTCCTATTGTTGTTATAAGAATTAGATTTTTCCAATATTGCGGTAGCAATGCGTAAACTTTTAGCAGTACACTTACTTTTTTATGTGTTTCTTCATTTTAAAGGTATCATTTTTTCATATTCATAATACAAGACACTTGTTGTTGTTTATCCAACCTTTCACGTCTTATAATCAGCATATTCCATATTCTTAAATATAAGAGGCGACCTTTTGTTTATGCGTATCAGTGATTTTCGATCGGGCAAAGCTGTAATACTCAAAAACAACTGATATGAAGGTCGTCGATCATTTTGGTCTCTGCGAGAACATATGAAAATCTTGAAATTTTTGTTGCCATCTCTGTGCCCAATGTCGTTTTATCTAGAATGGAAGCTATTCGTTTACCTTAGATCCACTGGAAATTGAATTGCCCGATGTGGAGGTGCCTGCCTTCCGCGCACTACTTCGCTTTTTGTATTCAGACGAAGTTGAGATTGGACCCGAGAGTGTAATGACTACACTCTACACAGGTATTCCCTCCTC